CCCCCTCTCCTTTCCTCTCTGAAATCAATAAAAATATATATATTTTTTTAAAAAGCCTGCAGTCTGGCTCTAGAGACTACCTCTTGAGCACTGCCCTCACCACCTCTCAGTGCTGAGAGCCACTAGCGACTGTCCCCACCCCTCCCCTGCACTGCCGCCCTGATGCTCCCTTCAGTCCCCCCAAGGAGGGGCCTCCCACACAGGATCTGCTGTCTGTTGGGTAGAGATCACTGTATCATTGGGCACTGCCCAGTGGTGGGAGCACAGCACAGTACTGACATCTGCTGGCTCTGGAGCAGAAATGCAAATGTGGGCTCACGTTAATAACCTTTTGAATAAAACGCATTGTCAAATGCCCTAGCCCAGTGGTCCGCAAACTGCAGCTCGCGAGCCACATGCAGCTCTTTGGCCCCTTGAGTGTGACCACGAAGTTTCAATCGCACTGTACATGCACGCCCGCACGTGGTATTTTGTGGAAGAGCCACAGTCAAGGGGCCGCAGTTTGCCAACCACTGCCCTAGCCAGTTGCTCAATGGTTAGAGCATCAACCCACTGACTGAAGGGTCTCAGGTTCGATTCCGGTCAAGCGCAAGTACCTCAGTTGCAGGCTGGATCCCCAGCCCTGGTGGGGCCGCGTGCAGGAAGCAACCAATCAATGTGTCTCTCTCACACCAATGTTTCTCTCTCTGTGTGTGTCTCTCCTCCCATGCACTCTCTCTAAAAAAAATCAATGGAAAAGATATCCTCTGCTAAAAATTAACAAAACAAAAACACATTGTTAAATGGTAGACTTCATTAAGAAGAAATTGCATGGTCCCAGCCAGTGTGGATCCGTGATTAGAGCACCAGCCAGCATGCCAAAGGGTCTCAGGTTTGATTCCTGTTCAAGGACACAACCAATCGATGTGTCTCTCTCACTCTCGATCTCTCTCTCTACTTCCCTCCTCCCTCCATTCTTCCCTTCCACTCTCTCTAAAAATCAATGGAAAAAATATCCTCCGGTGAGGATTAACAACAAAAAAGGCCATGTTTTTCATAGCTACTTCAGCTTTCATCTGAATTAACACAGTTACTAGTCCTTGTTGGGTTAGGAGGTAAACACATTCCCATAATTGGTTTCTAGCATCATTCACGCATAAATTTCCTTTTACAAGATTCCTTTTCCACAAACCTTCTACAGCTTCTCTTGTCCTTCTTAGTTTGTCTCTTTTTCCTCCTTCAGAAGTAACCAACTTATTGGGACAAACTAGTTTTTTAACTTCTCTCAACAATTCATATATCCTTTTCCTTCCTTCTGCAATAACATCCCTTCAAAATTTCAAAAGATAAGCAATTAAATAAGGATTGTTGATGATACAAAAGTTATCTTTTTTGTTGTTGCTAATCCTCACCCAAGAATATTTTTCCATTGATTTTTAGAGAGAGTGGAAGAAAGGAGAGAGAGAGAGAAACATCAACAAGAGAGAGACACATGATTGCCCAGCAAGCAGTGCTATTGTAAGAAAGGTCCACTTAGAATCGTGTCCATCGTGTCAAAGCTAAACCTGAGAACGTGGTAGCTGTTGCTGCAGCCGCAGTCCCATCCACAAAACCCACGGCTCCCGGGACTTCAAGGAGCCTGATGGCCAGGGCTCGGGTCTTATCTCGGCCGCTGGCTCTCAGGCAAGTGGTTACACTCTACTGAAATAGCATAGCGACCTCTCAGTAAACCTCAGGCGCCATCGCCTCAGACCGCTGTCACCGCCATCCTAATGGAAGTCTGAAGATCCTGGAGACAGAAACTCGCCCTCCTGCCTCCTCATCCCTGGATGTGCCATATTCGGGGCTATATACGAATCTACATGTTTTCTGAAAAAAAAAGGGGATACAGCTTAAAGCGCTCATGGATCCAGAAAAAAACAAGAACCCCTGTCAGGGAGGTAGGGAGGACGGTTCAAATGTTGCCAGACAGGGTGGGAGTGTGCATGGACGATGGGTCTTAGGTTGGCCCCGGGGGTTCCACTATCCCCTCCATGGCCCTGTCTCTGTCCGTCTTGGTCAGAGTCGGAGCCTGGGTCTTGTCAAGGAGCCAACCACCAGCCCTTTGCCCTTGATGTCTACGCATCAAGTCTGCAACCATACAAAGGAAGGAAGACACACTTCACCCAGAGGGAAATGGGCAGGATCTCTTAGGATTTCTTTTTTAAGAAGAACCTAAAAACTTCTGAGCGGTCAGGGCCTGACCATGCACCCTGCTGGGGTGGGCAGGGTGTGCAGACCTCAAACTGTAACATGCAATCTGGCTGGTGTGAATCAGTGGTTGAGCGTCAACCTAGGAACCAGGAGGTCACAGTTCGATTCCCAGTCAAGGCACAAACCCAGGTTTTTGGGCTCAATCCCCAGTAGGGGTTGTGCAGGAGGCAGCTGATCAATGATTCTCTCTCATCACTGATGTTTCTCTCTCTGTGTCTCTCTCTCTCTCCCTCTCTCTCTCTCTGTCTTCCTCTCTGAAATCAATAAATATTTATCTTTAAGAAACTGTAACATGCACACAAATCCCTGGAGATCTTATTAAAATTTAGATTCTGACGCAGGAGCTCTGAGGTGGGTGCTGAGATTCAATATTGCCAACAAGCTCCTGCATGATGCCAGCTGCCGGCCTGTGACCCTCACTGGGACTCATGGGCCTCTGAAACCCTCTCCTGGCCTCCTCTCCCAAGCCCCGCTTCATGATGGCCCCGGCTCCTGGGTCCCCTCAGCCCAGCACACAGCCTCCAGCTCACTGGGAAACACCATCATCACTGGCAGCGTTGAGTTTTATATGAAGGGGAAACCTCCATGTCTGCAGCTTGTTCCCTGGGCTCCCTGAACCGAGGTCGGTGGGCAGAGCCAACCTTCCTGTGCCCCCGAGGTGGCCTGGGTGAAAGCACACCGGGGACGCACAGGAAGCACCAGTTGGATCCAGACCTGCCACCTGCGTCTTTTCTCTCCAGTAGAACTGACAGCAGAGAACGGACACCTGGGGCAGCCTCTAGGGCAGTGGCAGGGCCCCCCCCACACGCAGAGGGGTCCTGGGTGTGTCTGAAGGTCAATGTCAGGGCCAGGAGGCGGTCCGTGGGAGTCCTGCTGGAGAAGCCCTTTACACGGCAGGTGGGTTGGGGGTGGGGTCTGCCTGCCTGGAAGCAGCACATTGTGGAAATGGCAGGGTCATGTGTGGCTGGGGTGGCAAGTGTCGGGAGCGTGCAGCGGGCTCTGGGTGGTCCTGGGGGCCTCTTGAAGGAGATTGAGGGCAGCAGGGAGCCGTGCAGAGGTCTGAGCAAGGGGGTGAGCTGGTCAGTGTGCGACCTGCAGTCAGATGTGGACACTGGAGGCCGGAGCCAAGTCAGGCAGAGGCTGGCAGAGTCTGGGCGGGTGGGGAGTGGCGTGCGGGGAGGTGACCGAGGAGGGACTTCAGAGCTGTGAGGATGAGCGGGGCCATAATGGGGCAGGGCACCCTGCATCCTGGCTTCTCTGAAGGAAGTGCTGGCGGCCCCTGTCCCAGCCCAGCCGCTGGGCAAATGTGTGCAGGGTGCAGGGAGGGCTTGAGGCAGAGCAGGGGCAGATTCAGCTCTGGGCCCAGCACCCAGCCGGGCCTGGCCCTGGCGGGTTCAGGTGCACATTTAGTGGGGGCTTTGAATAAGCCCCTCCAGGTCCCTGGCCTCAGTTTCCCTGCCTTAACGTCCAGGACTGGACTTGTGAGTTTGACCCGGGGTCTGGGCAGTCCCTGCTGAGGGCAGAGAAAAGGAAGGACCCTTGGCACAGCCTGGCCCACATCAGAGCCTCTGGGATGGGTGTGCAGTGCCCGGCTCAGATATGGGTTTTTCTTTCAAGGGGCACACACTGGGCTTGGGGCTGCCTTGCATTCACTGAGAGCAGGAAATTCAGACAACGGTGTTTCTTCTCCCTGGAAAAGGTGGTTGGCAAGTGCCTGGAGTGCGGCCCATCTGGAGTTTCCAGGGCTCTGGGCCTTCCTTATTCAGTCAGCAGCCTCTGCCACCGGGGACAGACAGACAGGAGGCCCTGCTCCAGCCCTTCCGGTTACTAAGCTCCTCCCAGCCCAGGATCTCATCTTGGCATCCCCGATGCAGGCAGGACGGGAATTAAGTATCCTATGTCCTTGGAAACTGAGGCCCCGAGTGGAGAAATGACTTGCCCAAGCGCATACAACTAGTCAGGGCAGGCCTGGACTTTGCATGGAGGTTGTCTGAGCCGTGATGTCAGTTTGTCTCAGAACGAGGCTTGGCAGGTGGATGCGTGCCACCTGGCTGCCACGAGCAGTCATGCCATGCTCTCTCCATCGCACCCCTTCAGCCGAGGCCTTTTGTGAGCGGCCAGGAGCAAACCCATTATCGTGGTGGACTCTGGGTTCACAGGATTCCTGGTGCCCGGAGCCAGTTCAGGCCTCAGCAGTGCTTTCAGCACCTAGGTGCCGAGCCCCTTCTCAGCGCTGCACTGGGAATAAGCATGAACAAGAAGAGTCTGGCCCTCACGGGGTTCTTAGATTTGACTTGGAATAAGAGCTAAACTTCCTTGCAGCTACAAGGCTTTGGCAAGCATGGGACTCCCACCCCGAGTCTGTTGGCTCATCTGAAAAAGTAGACATTTGAAGTGTGAGGAATGCCTCGTGCTCCGGGCAAATAACATTCCCAACCTCCCTCCCCACACAGCAACCGAAGGAACCTGGACCCAGGAAGGCCAGTGACTTGCCCAAGGTCACATGAGATCCCTGGCAGAGATGGGGCCCGAACTCCTTCCTGCTCCCTGGGCAGTTGGATCCCACACTCGTCCGGGGCAGAGAGATCTTAGTCTCCAGGCAACAGACGGGCAGTGGGCAACGGTAGGCTCATCAACCAACTCCAGGCCTGGAGACGAGCAGGGGGAGGGGAGGGGCAGGTAGGCAGGTGGGACCATCTGTGGGGATACAGCCACCTGGGCTGGCTCTGGGCTCCAAGGTAAGAGAACCAGTCTTGGGTGCCACTGGCTCATTAGAGAAAACTGTTTAATGGTTTAGGAATGTGTACACTCTGGCTCTGTTAAGTTTCCATAAAGGCAACTTTTCCATGTTTTTAAAAATAGATGTGACATAAAGATGTATATATTTATAAACAGGTAACGTAAAATTCCAATGTAAATGGCATCCTTGGGCTGCCTAAGGCACTCCCCGCCCCACAGTCCAGAGCAGTGGGGCTCAGAGTGTCCCTAAGACCCCCCGCCGCCCACCCCCACCCCGCCCAGCAGCCCTCCTGGAGAAGAGTAACTGGATTCAATGTGAATTAGGAGTTTCCTCCAGCTCCGCGTCTGCTGGGGCTTGTGCCTTTGGGGTCAGTCCCCACCCCTACCCCCATCCCCACCCCCGAGGACAGGGGACCACCTCTGGCTTAAGAGTCAGGATCACATGTGTCTCCTGCCCACCCCAGTCCTCCTCCCAGAACTCCATCAGCTTCCCTCGTTCTCCCTCAGCCCGTGTCACATCTGCCTCACCTAGACCACACTGCCCTTCCCCAGGCCTGGCTGCCAGGACAATTCCCCGATGTCCTTCCCTCTCCCACACCCGGGCCCCTCTCCCCACCTACTCCTGTGCTTAGATAATTTATAAACAAAGAGCGAGCCCTGGCTGGTGTGGCTCAGTTGGTTGGAGCGTCATCCCATGCACAGGAAGGCTGCAGGTTCGATTCCCTCTCTACAAGTAAAATAAATAAACTAATAAAATAAAATAAATAGAGATTAAACTGTTCCTTTGCCCCAGAGGCTGCTGGGAAAGGGAACAGAAACAAGTCTTATTTGCTGTCTCAGATACTTCCCTCATTTTCTCTTACTCCATCTGACACAGGATAAGGCCCAGAGAGATGGAGGCCCCAGCCTGGCGGGCATACAGAGCAGGGACCCCATGCGGCATGCAGTCAATGCCTCACCCGCAGCCAGGCCCTGAGCGCTAGCATCTGTGTCTGAGGTTGAGGGCATCTCTCGGAGCATCAGGAAATGGCTTCAGCCCAGGGAGCGGGTGGAGGAACCTCACAGGCGGAGGGTAGGGACGAACTCATTCTTGCAGGAGAGAACTATGAACAAGAGATTAGCTTGGGGTGGGGCAAGTTCTCAGGGGTGTCCAGCTGGGTCATTTGTGGGATTATAAATGACATGAACAAAAGGGCAGGGTAAGTGGAGGGAGGGGGGCCGGAAAGGTAAGTGGAGGGGGGGCAGGATGCTCCTGGGGGACAGGCAGGTGCTGGAACGAACCCAGGGTGGAGCTGTGAAGGCCTTGGGCTTCTGGGTCCGTGTGGACAGCACTCCAAGTACCCGAGGGCACCCTGAAAGGTGTTGGGGGGGTGGCAGGACCAGGAGTGACCTCTCACAGCGGACACTGATGGCTGCAGGCGGTGGCTGGGGCAGTGGGATGAGAAGCCCAAGACCAAGGTCAGTGAGATGTCCAGGTGAGAGGATGTGATGGCCAGTGTCTCCGACACCCCGGGACTGAGACGTGGGGGAATCAGAGTTGTTGGCTTGGTTTCTGGGTAAACCAAGAGGTGACCAGCGAGAAGAAGCCTCCCTGGTCCCAGGCTAGGTCGCTCTTCCTTTCCCTTCTAAGCCAGGCCTCTTCGGGGTTTCAGGCCTCCTGCCCTAAAGACGGGGGTTGTGGTGGCTCACGTCCCAGTGACAAATGAGCCTGTCACCTGCCAGCTACCCGTTCCTGTGCCTACCGCCAAGGACATCCATCCGAGGGGGTAGAAGGACCTCCGTCTTCCCTGAACCCTGCGGGGCTGGGTACCTGTGCTCTCAGCTGGAAGTGGGGCTGCAAGTCAATCATAGGGATGCAGGCCCTTGCCTCTGCCCCAAGACCCCAAAAACAGCAGGTGACATTTTCTAGCTGGGGCCTAAATTCAACGCCCAGCTCTGCCCAAATATTAGCCCCTAGCAGAGGTCATGGGGCTGGAGGACCTTTGTCCCTGACCTTAAAGGAATCCTCTTCAGGGAACCCCTCGGTGACAGGCACTTTCTACTCGGCAGGTGGAGCCTAGGCCTTCAATGGAGAGGCCGGGCAGGCGCCAACTCCCTGCCAGCAACTGGGCCCCATTCACCAGCAAGGCCACTGCGGACTGAAGCCAGGCAGCCTTCGTGCTCCCACCCCACCCCACCCCAGGCAGAAATGGGCTGACTCCCCTAAATGCAGACCCCGGCTCAGAAGCTCCTGGCCCAATCAGGCTAACATCCTTTCCCGCCAGAAGCAGGCTCAGCAGTTCTATGGCTGCCTCCCTGCTTGAAAGGGAGCCCCCAGCCTGCATGTCTGTCTCGGCCATCCATGCCCGACCCTGACTCATCAGACTGCTGCAAAGGTCTGGCTTCTTGCTCTGCAGCCAGGCCTGCCCAGGAGAGGGGGCAACGCAGACCAAGGTGCTTGGAGTAGAAGGGCCAGGGGAGTCAGGGAAGCGCCACAGCCTCCTTGGGGCTGGGGCTGAGCCTGGGGTGCCTGACAAGCCTGACAGGCTCTGGGCTGCCTCTCTATGATGCGGCCTCGCAGTTCACTTCCTGAGGCCCCACACTGAGAGGCCAGAGGGGCTGAACTGGGCTGACAGGGGAGAACTGAGCTGGCTTAGGAAGATCACCTAAGGCCAGACCCTGTGATCCTCTGAGCTACGCCAGAGTCTGGTGCTGCTTCGAAGACCCCCAGTGACCCCGGCTCCACCCTGCCTTCTTACCTCAGCATCTGCGCATGTGGAGGCTGCTGGGGGCAGGTGGACTCAGAGGAGGGGAAGGGGAGGACGGGGTGGTGAAATGCCCAGGCCCAGAACTACCAGGCCTCGCCTCTTTGGTTTGGGAAACTCTAAGCTAGACTGGGAGCAGTGGAGAGCTGATGCTCTAAACATGACAGGAAAGATTTCTCAGACCTGAGCCTCAAGGATGCAAGATTTTACTTTTCCCTTAAATGTCCACATTCCTCTCTCATTCCCCAACCCCCAAGCTTCTGAGACCTCAGAACTGAAGAATTAACTGTTTTTGCAACCTGAGTGACACAACTTTGGGTCCCAAGCCAGCAGACAGTCCCTGCTTGGCTGTGGGCCTCCACTTTTGTGAATGAAAACAAGAAGCTACATGGAAAACTTGAGAGGTCTTGCTAAGGCAGCAAGTTGGGCCCCATGGTGTCTGTGAGCTTAGAGCTGGCAGTGAAGAAGGTTCCTGCCCTGGAAGGAGTTAGGGCTTCCCTGGGCTGTGCTCAGAAACCACCTATTGGGCTGGTTGCTCTGCTCTCCGCAGCTACATATGGAGGCCCTGGAATGACCTGGGAACCAGTCACATCCCTGGGAGGCAGCAACCTGCTGCTACGGCTGCAGCAGACACAGGTGTGAAATGGTCAGAACTAGTCAGAATATAGCAGGGGAGGCACGGTCCAGGCCCCTCTCCAGCTGTGGTCCACACTGTGAGCTCGGGCCAGTCCTGAAATGTAAGAGCATGAAGGGAACAGCCACTGACCGGCAGGGCGGGCCCCACACCCTGCCCTGTGACCACAGGCTCCTGCAGGAGGAACCCTGCTTCTCCTTTCCTTGGGGGAGCTTTCCCATCAAGCATCCAGGCCATGGGATGAATGATTCCAGGACTTTATCCAGCTGCTCTAGAATCACGGGTGCCCTAGAGGGCCAGCTCTGGAGGGCTGGGCTTGGCAGACCAGAGCGAGGAGAAGGGGAGGCCCCTGCCTGCCTGCCTGCCCTGCACCCCAGTCAGCACCCGCAGCCCCAGCTTTCTCCAATGTCCTTGCTATCCAGCTGGATGTGGTCGGTGCTCTTCTCACTGAGCAGAGGACCCCCGTGCCTCATGACCAGCTCTGTGGCCACCCTCACGAAGGCCTCCTCCACGTTGCTCGAGTCCTTGGCAGACGTCTCAATGGCACACAGGATGTCATAGTGCTCCACCAGGCTCTGCGCTTCAGCCAGAGGGACCTCCCGGAGCTCGCCAAGGTCCGACTTGTTCCCTGTGGGGAAAGGCCAGGAGCAGCGTGGTGAGGTCAGCTGGTGCAGGGAAGCCCTGTCCTACGTGGCAGGGCCAAACCGACAAGCCCAACCCCATCTGATGCCCTCTGTCAACTCCTAGTTGTGCATTGTGCATGGTGATCTTTAAAACAACAGCCAAACTGTTATTTTAAAGCTGCTATTCTATCCTTTAGTCCACCCCACTCTGTTTTTAACCTTTGCCAGAGGATTGTATATTTTGACTCTTTCTAAGATATAGCAGTAAAATTTAGGCAAAAGAATACCATACTTTAAAGCTAGAAGAAAATCTGGGTAGAAACTCCAGCTTCCTATCACTTAGGTAGGTCACTTCATCTCTGAGCCCCAATTTCCCCATCTGATGCCACCTTCAGCAGAGCAAGGATTAAATAATACAACAAATATGAAAACAACTGGCATCTGGCAGGTACTCCATAAATGTGTAAGTTAAAGAAATCTGGCACTGCTCTTTTTGTGTTTGTTTTTTTTCTGGTAAAACTCCGTTATTATACTTATTATTTATTCTCTCTTATTTTTCTACTACTAAGAACACAGACTACCACTTTACCTGAGAGTACATCATTGGCTTCTCCTACAGGTGTGAGATGTCTCATTACATTCCAAATCATCTAGTAAACTACTCCTTGACCCAATTTTTAAAAGCATTTTTTAAGTTTCTAAATGGTTGACTTTTACAATGTGATATAGGGAGGACAAAAAAATAGATAAATGTCTATAAATAGCTGAAATTTCTTTGGTAACCTTAAATGATGTATCAATCAATTTCAATGTGTGAAACTTATCCTAATTTCAAAAAGAAAAAAAAAGCACATGTTGTTTATGAGTAATTATAAATCTGAACACAGGTCAGTTATTTGATTTATTCAGGAAATGTCAATATTTTTAGATGTGAAAATGGTACTCTTGTCATGTCTTTTTAAGTGTTTTTATCTTTTGATTCACGCTGGAATATTTACAGATGAAATAGTTGTAGTTAGGAATCGCCTGGAAATAATACAAGGGAGGGAGGGGATGAGGTGGAGGTGAAATGTGACATGAGTTGCTGAAGCTGGGTGATGGGTCTAAGGTTCGTTACACTATGTTATTTCTGTATTTGTGTAAAATACTCAATATAAAATGTCTTATTTTAAATGTCCTGGATAAAAGGACTGTGGAAGGCTGGGCAAGGAGAGCTCCATTACTTCCCGGGCAGATGAGCTCTGCTAGCCCTTCTCAGCCCAGTCCAGGCAGGTGTGTGGGACCAAGCCACCCTTTCCCCAGCTGGAGCGACATCCAGGACCCACCTGCACAACCTCGTCTTAGAAAAATCAGTCTGACTGCTGAGGTGAGGACCCAGGGGTCACACAAGTGGTCCAAAGCTTCCTGAGCCCAGTTCTGGGAAGTTTACGTAGGAGAAAAAATGGAAAATGGAGGTATCCGCATCTCTGCAACAGTAGTTTTCAAAGTGGGTTCCCTGAGTCGGCAACAGATATGTCCCAGATGTCACCTGGGAACTTGTTAGAAATGCACATTCCTGGGCCTCACCCAGGCCTCCTGAACTGAATGCTCTGCAGGTGGTGCCCAGCAGCTGTGCTTTATGGCTTTGGAGGCATGGGAACATTTGAGGAGCCCTAATCTGCTGAATTATGGTTAGTACTAGTAGAACTACACTCAAATTTCACGTGTGTATGCTCACAGACTGTTTGAACTGAGAAATTATTTCACTTCTCTGAGCCTCATGCCCATGCCCTGACAAATAAGGAGTAGTCAGATTATGGGAATTAAATCCAAAGACACGTGTGAAGACTTAACCAGTGTTAACCACTGTGCAGATACATGTACACTGCAAATCAAATTTTAGCTTCCTTTCTTCCCAAATTCCAATTTTAAATATAACGTTACAAGTGACCAGCAGAATCAGAATTTCAAGTTCTGGCTCCATTCCTGCCTGGATAAGCTCAGGCCCTCTCTGTGCTCTGACTTTCCTTTGTTTAAAAAGGAGAGAGAAGCCCTAGCCGGTTTGGCTCAGTGGATAGAGTGTTGGCCTGAAGACCAAAGAGTCCCGGGTTCGATTCCGGTTAAGGGCACATGCCTTGGTTGCAGGCTCCTCCCTGGCCTGGGCCCTGGTTGGGGCACATGCAGGAGGCAACCAATCGATGTGTTTCTTTCACATCAATGTTTTGCTCTGTCTTTCCCTCTCTCTAAAAGATCAATGGAAAAATATCCTCAGGTAAGGATTAAAAAAAGAGAGAGCCCAGCCAGTGTGGCTCAATGGTTGAGCGTGGACCTATGAACCAGGAAGTCATGGTTCAATTCCAGTCAGGGCACATGCCAGGTTGCAGGCTCGATCCCTCATAGTGGGGTGTGCAGAAGGCAGCTGATCAATGATTCTTTCTCATCACTGATGTTTCTATCTTTCCCTCTCCCTTCCTCTCTGAAATCAATAAAAAAAAAATTTTTTTTTTAAAAAGGAGAAACTGAGACAGACAGGATCTGTGGTCCCAAGGAACCCTGCCAGCCCCGACTTCATCCCTCCCAGCTCACCGATCAGCAGCTGCACAATGTTGGAGCCAGCATACTTCCTCACGTCCTCGATCCAATGAGGCACTGACAGAAAGGAGCTCCTCTTGGTGATGTCGTAAGCAAGAATGGCCCCATTAGCACTGCGGTAGTAGCTCTGGGTGATGGTGCGGAATCGCTCCTGGCCGGCAGTGTCCCAGATCTGCAGCTAAAGACATAGGAAGCCTCCCATGAACCGGATGACATGGCCGGGACAGGGAGGGCAATCCCACACACCCATGCCGAAAGCACTGGTTCCAACTGGCAGGCCACCAGCCCAAACCCTGACTGGAATCACACAGAAGGTCTAGAAGGTAGAGAGGGGGGGGGGAGCCCTTCTGAGCCCTTAGAAAGCAACTCAGTGGCCCTGCGCTGTGTAAGGCTCCCCCACAACTAGGGTTCTCTATCTGCCTCAGAAATACCCAGGAATATGCTCCCTACTTGGTGGTAAGGGAGGCCTGGGCTGTGTCAATGAGGGCCTAGGGGAAGCAGTGGGCAGAGCCCTTCCTGGGGCCTTTACCATCAACTGACCCATCTTGACCAAACGCAAAAAGCTTGGCATCTTTTCCTGCCCATGTCTTCACTTAACAACACTCATTAGGGCCCAATACCCAGCCCTCCTGGACACTGGCCACGCAGGAGAGGTACCTGTGTGTGGCAGGAGCTTCTCTAGCTTTCTATAGAGGCAGCAGTCTGGCAAGACAGACACAACATAGAGCAGGGCAGACCTTGCCCTACACTGTGCCCAGACAAGGAGGCCTCCCACTCTAGGTGGAGACCACCACCAGTTCTAGGACTGGGAGAGAGACTGCGGACAGGCATCAGAGCAGGCAGGTACCAGGGCTCTCAGGAGCTCAGGGATTGCTTTCTCCACTCCAGAAATCACAGGTTCTCGGGGCTCTCTGAGGATGAACACGAGCCTTTGGTCCACAATGGGCTGCAGGTCCATCCACGCTCCTTTGCTGGCGCAAGTACTGTCAGTGCCTCTCTATCTAGTTCTCAAGGTGTCAGAGGCCCTCTAGTCTGTCCAGAGTGGGGATAATGACCCTCTCAGTATGGAGGTGACAACCTTTTCCCTAGGCCCCACCAAGTAAAGTCTGAGAGTTAACCTCTGGGCCACAACATGCCAAATACAATCCTCCAGTCCTGAGGATTCCTATTTACTCTTCAGCTCTAAGAGGCTACAGGGAAACCAGGCTCCATACCCCACAGCTTATGCTGTCTGCTAGCTCACGCATGGGGCGAAGCAAAAGGTGTAAACACTGACACTACACAAACCTGGGATCCAAATGACCAAGCACTCATCTCCACACCCCAGAGGAGAGCATATAACACTAAAGACAGAGGATAAACATGGGAAAAAGCAACTTGGAGGAAACAGAAATTATGCAAAAGCAAAAACCTCAAAAACAATCATCAAGAGTTTCAGAGATAGAAAAGATCTGTGAAACAATAAACACTTTAAGTAGAGGGAGCATTCAGAAATAAAAAAGAGCTCTTGAAAATTAACTATATAACAAAAATGAATAATACAACATAAGGGTTGGGAGATAAAAGTTGAAGACATCCCTCCATGGTAAAGAAAAAAATAAATACAAAGAGATGGAAAAGAGAAAAGAAAATTGTAGAAACAGCCTGGGAGGTACAATATGTGATAGTAAAAGGTTCAAGGGGGGTGGGGGGGAGGAAGTAAAATCAAAGAAATACTTCAAGAAAATGCCCCAGAACTGATTGAAAGGGTCCACTAAGCACACACACAATGAAGGAAAACAGACCCTCACAAAACACGACTGAGAATTCCAAAATAATAGGGAAGAAAAACTCCCAGAGTAAAAACAGAAAAAGAAAAAACAGGTTTCAAGGTTTCACACAAGATTCACATGGTATTAGATATTCAATCAAACAATGCCTGAAATTATGACGGAAAATTATTTCCAATCTAGAATTCTCTACTCAATCAACTATCAGTCAAGTGTGATGGTTTAATAAAGGCATTTTCAGGCGTGTAGGCCTCAAAAAATTTACCTTCCTACCACCCTTTATCAGGAAACTACTGAAGGTTCCTCTACCTAAAGAAACCAATCAAAAATAAGAAAACGGGGGCTTCAGAAAACAGAGAATTCAACTCAAAAGAGAAGCAAAGGGAATCGCTAAGTGAGATCCCAAGACAACAGCCAAGCAGGGCGTTTGGATGTTCACCCATCCAGAGCAGGCCCAGCACTCCAGGACAACTTCCAGCCCTGGCACAGTCATCAACAGCAGACAAACCTTCCCTCCATAAACAACCATTAGACGGAGGAAAACAGGGAGGCTGCCATTTTCAACCCCATTGTGCTGCCTAATGTAAACAACACGCAGCACAAAACTGTAACCCTGCAAGAAGCAAAACTCATGAAATGTACCTCATGATCACCAAAACTCTCTACCCAGCGGCGGTTTCCTAACCACAGGACAGTGGATAGAATCCAGAGCATGGTGGTCCCACTGAGCCAGGGAGGCAAAGATCAGCATCTTAGATGTGATGGATGGAGCAATGCAGGGGGTGTGAGAGCCCAACAGTCTATGTGGGGGAGTTCCCAGTGAGTCCTCACCTGAGGACTCCATGCACAGGATCAGACTACCAGAATCTTACCAGAGTGGCTCCAACAGGGTTAAGAATAGACCAAACTCAGAAATAGAGGTTGAGCAGTGCTAGGGGATGCTGAAGTTCCCACCCAGACACATCCAGGTGCCTCTTTAGCACATTGTTAATGACCCAGATATTAAGCTGAGACATCAGGAAGGCTGTATACTATGAGTGAGAACCATGGCTGGAGGAAGGCCTTCATAAACCCGCCCCAACAAATCCTAAAACCAACACCCAACGTAAGTCTCAGGTTTGGAGGCTGAGTTCTGTCCGGTTAGAGAGGCAAAACAAACATCCTTGAACACTAACAAAACATAAAAACAAACATACACAGGTTCAAAGTGATCAACCAGTAATTTAATTAACTACTAAGATCCTGCACGAGCCAGGGAGGAGCCTGCAACCTGGGCATGTGCCCTTGACCAGAATCGAACCTGGGACCCTTCAGTCCGCAAGCTGACGCTCTATCCACTGAGCCAAACCGGCTAGGGCCATATATTTTAATAAAAAACAAAACAAAACAAAAAACACACAACCAACCCAAATTAAAAATAAGTAGGGAGAGGTAAGAGCCTCTCCACTCCTCTGATGAGTGGCACAGAGTCCTCTTTCACTATGACTTCCTATAGTTGCACTGCCAGTTGTGGGCCTCCTCATCCTTTAGGGCATGGGCGGGCACCTTGCACTTCAGAGCAAAGGCGCCTACCGCACACCCACCATTCATGGGGGCTTGGAGGACTGTGGTGTGTCGATGTCCTCCGTCTGCTTCGTGTCCTCACCCTCCTCTGAGGGCTACAGACGTGGCTATGTGGGCACCTTGGCTGGGTCCGACAGGCTTCTGGTGGGCAACGAGACAGTGACCATGCAGAACCTCAAGACCTTAGCGCCTCACACCTGGATAAGGTACATGCCCTGGAGGAGGCCAACAGGTGACCTGGAGGTGAAGATCATGACTGGCACCAGAAGCAGGCGCCCGGGGTGCCCATGACTACAGCCACTACTACCAGACCATTGATGATCTTCGAGACAAGATTCTTGGTGCCACCACTGAGAACTCCAAGATTGTCCTGCAGATTAACAATGCCGTCTGGCTGTGGATGACTTCCAACCAAGTTCGAGGCAGAGCAGGCCCTACGCATGAGCATGGAAGCTGACATCAGTGGCCTGTGCAAAGAGCTGGAGGAGCTGACCACGGCAGGAGCAGATCTGGAGATGCAGACTGAAGGCCTGAAGGAAAAGCTGGCCTACCTGGAGAACCATGAGGAGGAAATCAGTGCCCTAAAGGGCCAGGTGGTGACAAGGTCAGTGTGGAGGTGGATTCCGCTCCAGCACTGACCTGCTAAGACCCCGAGTGATATGAGAAACCTGGTCATGGTTGAGAAGAACCTGAGAAGAACTGGAAGGATGATGACCTGGTTCACCAGCCAGACTGAGGAGCTGAACCAGAGGTCGCTGGCCACACAGAGTAACTGCCGATTTAGCCCATTAGCAAGACGGCCCTGGCCAGGTAGCTCAGTTGGTTGAGCGTTGTCCGGATACACCAAGGTTGCAGTTCGATCTCTGGTCAGGGCACACACAAGAAGCAACCAATGAATGCATAAATAAGTGAAACAATAAATTGATGTTTCTTTCTTTCTCTCTCTCCCCCCCCCCCTTCTCTTTCTCTCTCTTAAAAAAAAGAAAAAAAACCATTAGCAAGACAGAGGTCACCAACTGGTCTGGAGATCAAGCTTCAGTCTCAGCTCAACATGAAAGCCACCCTAGAAGGCACGCTGGCTGAAACACAGGCTTGCTTCAGAGCCCAGCTGACAGGTCCAGGCACTATCAGCAGTATCCAAGCCCAGCTGAGTGACATTTGTGCTGGCACTAAGCATCAGAACCTGGAGTAACAGCAGCTCCTGACATCAAGACATAGCTGGAGCAGGAGACCGCCACCTACCACAGCCTGTGTCAGGGCCAGGATGCCTATCACCAACCTGCCCGTCACCAAGACGGCCTGAGTCCAGCAGCCTCCTGGGCTTCCTGCTTCCAGCAGAGGGATGCTCTGGAAGGGAGGGAGCCTTACCCCGGCTCTTCCTCTGACCTGTCAATGAAATTTTATGGCTCAAGGGAGGAAAAAAAATAAGCAGAGAACCTGAGTAGACACTTCTCCAAAGAGAATGTACAGATGGCCAACAGACATATAAAAAAATGTTCAACATCACTAATCATCAGAGAAATGCAAATTAAAACGACAATGAGATATCACCTCACACCTGTCAGAAAAGCTATTATCAATAAATCAACAAACAAGTGCTGGTGAGGGTGTGGAGAAAAGGTGCGCTATTGATGGGAATGCAGAGTGGTGCAGCCACAGTGGAAAGCAGTATAGAGTTACCTCAAAAAATTAAAAATGGAACTGCCTTATGACCCAGCAATTCCACTTCTGGGTATATACCCAAAGAAATCCAAAATATTACTTCTAAAAGATATATGCACCCCTATATTCACTGCAGCATTATTTACAATAGCCAAGATATGGAAGCAACCCAAATGCC